AAAAAAATTTTTAATTTTTTTTTTATTTTTTTTTTGTGTTTCTTTTTTTTTTTTTTTTTGTTTGTTCTTGAAGCAGGTATACAAATGCATTTTATTGCAGCATGTTACATAGATTGATTCAATGGATATAAAAATGCATGGGGATACGTGCAGTATAAACAGAAATCAACATAACAGCACAATGACATGCATAGTCCAGCAATCACTTATATTAATATTATTATATCATATTCGTAAGGAAAAAAAATATATATCATATCCATCAATTGATATTCATTAAAACATGTCAAGAATGAAACAGATGTACTCTGACCCTAACCAATATCCATACAAACACAGGAAGTTTTCACACATAGCAATGACACTAGTACAACTTTCCTTTAAAATGAAGCTCTTACTGTCCATTACCTGACTGTACATATTAATTTTTTTTATTAACCATCCATCATTCATCCTTTAAAAATAAAAAGTTGAAATAATTGATAATCAACAATTTGTCATTTGAGTTTAGTTTAGCTGATATCAACTTTAAATTTAGACCAGTGTTTTCAAAATTTGTATTATTTTATGACGGCAACTAATTTTTTTTTAAATTTACTGGGGAAAAAAAAATGTTAATTACTAACTTAACACACAAACAGATTGATTGTTCTCATAATAAATAATACCTAGAACAGATATAACAAAACTGGTCAAAAATTTTAATATTTCAGCAAAATAGAGTTTACATGTTTTGATTTCTGTTTATAAACACACCTTAATTGATCAGAGCAACTAACATAGATGAAGAACAGATAAGAATTCACACAGAATTTTGATTAAAACAGCAAGATTATCTACTCATTTCCGTATAGTAAGTAGAACAGGTTGAACCACAGATGAATTCATCATCACCTACAGAAGAATGTGACAGTTTGTACACATAACACTTGGGCTACATTAAGTTTGTACATTTAGGAATAAAGCTCCATCCACACTACATTCAATTAACATTGTATAGCATTGTAGCAGCATGATGATTGATTGATAAGCAATCCTTAACCAAAAAAAAAAAAATATTTAAAAGAGCTTAAAAAGTAAACAAAAATATAAATACCAGTAAATACATTTATTTATAATGTATTAAAATCCCCCCAAAAAGCGTTTAGTAAACAAATCTTTAAAGAAATATAGATGGAAACAAATTTGATCAATGAGAAATAGTTTGTTGATCTTTAATATTTAAATGAATATAGTTTTTTTTTAAATATCTAATGTGTATGCTCCATCATTTGTTCCAGACCATGTAACAATTTGTTCAATTTCAGTTTTTGTATTGCCATGTGGCATCTGATCACCATCTCACAGGCTGATAATTAATCATTTTTTCATTCAGGAGTGCCACGACTCCACTGAATTATTCTAATTTAATTGAAACTCTGGTTGAAATGAATTGCGAAGGTGTAAAAAAAAAAAATAAAAAAAAAAAAATTACTTCCCTTTATTTAATTGTAAAGTGGTCTCCCTGCAGACACCTGGGGATGTTTCTTCTTAGATTTGAGGGGCCCACAATCAATTTGATGATCATTCTGGCTCCTGGTTTAAATTCAGAGTTTGCCTTCTCTTAGATGCCTTCTTAGTTTGCCTTCTCTTTGGTGGGGATTGAACTCCAGACCACCAGCTATTTGGTGTGAGACAGTTTAGACCGCTCGGCCACCCAGCACAATGGTCTCGAAAAGGAAGCAGGACACACCAGAGGCAATACATATATATGTATATATATATCTTCTGCTATGGCTGAATGATGGCTGCATGAAGTCATCTTTGGTCAGTCCTAGATACACCCATATCTTAATACTCTACCCTGATGAACGCATCCTAAGTTTTTGTTAAGCAAGTGTGGGATACTGACAAACAAAATAAACTGGTTTGAGGACCACTATGTTTGTCACTTTGTACAAGAATTTTGAAGAATTTCATATGTATCTTAAAATACAATACCCCCAGGTGGGGTTATTCTAACAGAAACACACAGAAATTCAAGTTTTAAAAAAAAGGAAACATGTGTTAGAGATGTTAAGCGTGCTTAAGCGAGATTTGTTAGCTTTCAATACTAGTCTCAGCCTCTGTGATATTAAAACAGATAAAAACTAAAGAAAAAAAAAATCAGCCGTGTATCAACAGTTACTGCAGAAGTTGAAGTAGACGTGATGTTAACATTCATAACGTGCTTTATATTAACATCCCATTGATGAAGTTCTCATCAATGGGATGACCTGTTAGATAAACACTTGTATGAGTAGACGCATCACAGGACACTGCATGTGTTACAGTATTATGTCTTTTATATATTTCAAAATGAAATGGTTGTAGCCTTGACGGACCCAGGAAAAGAAATAGACACAGACCAAGAACTGTTTTTCCTACAAGCACACATTGTGGAAGCCTATCGTGACCCATGGCTCGTCAGTCTACCAAAAATTAATCTAAACACCAGCTTCTGGCACAACCTACACAACAGTGATCACGACGAAATGATCACTAGACTACCGCAGATATTAACTATTCACTAATTGATATCACATCAAGTGATTGGCCCGACTACAGTTGTGCACCCCCTGTCTGGTGAACCATACAAAACCATACTGCCCATTATCTGCTTGCTGCATGCAGAGAAGCTTTTCATCATAGATCTTTCAATGTGAGGAGCACCTGGCAGAAAATTATTTTATAAGCGCCACCGCACTCCCCTTTGATGCCCAGGAGTTAATTTACACAATAAAAATACAGATCTGGCAGAATATGTCAAAAGGGACCTAAAAGGGACCTAAAGATGTTGATACTTTCAGTCATTTTAATACTTGTCCATCCATGACTGCCATGAACTGTTTCAAACTGTTGAACCTTTCACTTGTACTTGTATAGGTGCATTCACAAAACAAATAAATGCCGTCAAAGAAGACCATTTCCGGTGAATATCAACCCAACATTTTACTGGTATTTATAAGGTAAGTAGGAATAATAAATAGTCACATAACAGCTAACGAAGTGGACACTTGGCGATGTTGGTGCCCCCGCCCGAGGACGTCACCTTGACCAGCTCTTGTACACAACACTCACATCATCAGCCGCTCACTGTCTACATCTCAGCAATGCCTTCACTGGGGGTAGCCGGCGTTAGGCCTGGGGTAGCCAGCGCTGTAGCCTCTGGAGTAGGGGTTGGTCTGGGCGCCCCCTTGACCTGCCGCAGGGGCTGTTGGGTAGCCAGGATTTTTTGCCTGGAACAAGTTGATATCATCATCTAATATAATAAAAATAAAATCCAGAGTGTTGATCTAATTATCAACCATTGGCAGCAACTACAGACACAACCATTGGCAGCAACTACAGACACAACCATTGGCAGCAACTACAGACACAACCATTGGCAGCAACTACAGACACAACCATTGGCAGCAACTACAGACACAACCATTGGCAGCAACTACAGACACAACCATTGGCAGCAACTACAGACACAACCATTGGCAGCAACTACAGACACAACCATTGGCAGCAACTACAGACACAACCATTGGCAGCAACTACAGACATCAATCACCTAACCTTATGTAAAGCCTGAAGTAAATCCTTTTGCAAAAACAAAAACAAAAACAAGTACAAATTTCTACATTTGTCCTACAGACTTTGTGTTCTTGTTGAGTCGTTATTTTAAATCATTTGGAAGTATGTTTTTAATAATTATGAAATACATAAATCTAACCACTCTCTTCTCATTAATAAATACTTTTATAAACTGTGGCTTTTATATCCAAAATGTAGAGATATAAATATGCCTTACCTCTGGCTTTGTATATATATATATGGTGATATATCCAACATGCAGAGAGATATAAAGGTCTTACCTGTGGCTGTTGTGGCATACCGGGAGCTTGGTTGTATGGTCCAGTCACTGGCGACCCGGCCTGGCTGTACATCATTTGTCCCTGACCTTGGCCAGGCAAGCCCTGTCCTGGTTGCCCAGCTGGGTAGCCTGCAGCGTACTGGTTATACAGAGCTGGCCAAATAAAAAATACTGTAAGACGCACATGGCAGACAAACATGATATAAACGTTTGAATGGATTAATGTTCCTTTCTAAATATTTACAGGTCAAATATTACGCTTACAACATACACACACAAAATTGAATCTTTAAGTTTAAAAAGGGCTGTTCAAACATCTTCACCATTTTAACTTCTCAACTAAAACTGAAATATGCATAAGAAATTTATATTGTGAAACTATAAACAAGCTCTAGATTCAAATCAACTATGTTGTACTACACACCAGCTCTAGAATCACACAAACAATGTGGAACTACACACCAGCACTAGAATCACAACAACAATGTGGAACTACACACCAGCACTAGAATCAAACCCACAATGTGGAACTACACACCAGCACTAGAATCACACCAACAATGTGGAACTACACACCAGCACTAGAATGACACCAACAATGTGGAACTGCACACCAGGACTAGAATCACACCAAAAATGTGGAACTACACACCAGCACTAGAACCAACAATGTGGTACTATACACCAGCTCCAGATTCACACCAGCAATGTGGTACTACACACCAGCTCCAGATTCACACCAACAATGTGGTACTACATACCAGCACTAGAATCACACCAGCAATGTGGAACTACACACCAGCACTAGAATCACACAAACAATGTGGAACTACACACCAGTACTAGAATCACACCAACAATGTGGAACTACACACCTGCACTAGAATCAAACCCACAATTTGGAACTACACACCAGCACTAGAATCACACCCACAATGTGGAACTACACACCAGCAGTAGAATCACACCCACAATGTGGAACTACACACTAGCTCTAGAATCACACCCACAATGTGGAACTACACACCAGCACTAGAATCACACCCACAATGTGGAACTATACACCAGCACTAGAATCACACCAACAATGTGAAACTACACACCAGCACTAGAATCACACCAACAATGTGGAACTACACACCAGCTCCAGATTTACACCAACAATGTGGTACTACATACCAGCACTAGAATCACACCAGCAATGTGGAACTACACACCAGCACTAGAATCACACCCACAATGTGGAACTACACACCAGCACTAGAACCAACAATGTGGTACTACACACCAGCTCCAGATTCACACCAGCAATGTGGTACTACACACCAGTACTAGAATCACACAAACAATGTGGTACTACACACCAGCACTAGAATCACACCAACAATGTGGAACTACACACCAGCACTAGAATCACACCAACAATGTGGAACTGCACACCAGCACTAGAATCACACCAACAATGTGGAACTACACACCATCACTAGAATCATACCAACTATGTGGTACTACACACCAGCACTAGAATCACACCAACAATGTGGTACTACACACTAGCTCTAGATTTAAATCAACAATGTGGTACTACACACCAGCTCCACATTCACACCAACAATTGGAACTACACACCAGCACCAGACTTACACCAACAATGTGGAACTACACACCAGCACTAGAATTACACCAACAATGTGGTACTAAACACCAGCTCCAGATTCACACCAACAATGTGGAACTACACACCAGCACCAGAATTACACCAACAATGTGGAACTACACACCAGCACTAGAATTACACCAACAATGTGGTACTAAACACCAGCTCCACATTCACACCAACAATGTGGTACTAAACACCAGCTCCAGATTCACACCAACAATGTGGAACTACACACCAGCACTAGAATCACACCAACAATGTGGTACTAAACACCAGCTCCAGATTCACACCAACAATGTGGAACTACACACCAGCACCAGAATTACACCAACAATGTGGTACTACACCAACTCCAGATTCACACCAACAGTGTGAAAATGTTCATCACAAATTTTGGTTAAACTACCAAAATGAAAATACAAAATCAATTAAAAATGGGATTAAAATTACCAGGGTCATATTGTTGTTGCTGTACAGGAAGCTGGGGCTGCTGCTGCTGCTGCTGTTGTTGTTGTGGCAATTGGGGCTGTTGAGGAAGCCCAGGTTGGGGTATGCCATATCCAGGCTGTCCAGCGTAGGACTGGGGCATTGGACCCGGCTGGCCTTGGTTGTATCCAGGCTGACCACCATAGGAAACTTGTTGTTGCTGTTGTGGGGGTTGCTGTTGTTGCTGAGGTGCCTGTGGTTGTTGCTGCTGTTGTTGCTGGTTTGCAATATTCGATTGGGGCTAAAGTGTGAAGCAGAAAGTTTAAGACAGCAAGCGTAACTGAAGACATTGTTAAAAGCAGGTTTTAAAAAAACATAAATAAATTACACTTATTTAATAATTTATGTATATTTTAAAAAATGTAAAACTCATAAGTAAAAATGAATTAATAAAAATAGAATTTATGAATTTAGTCTTAGTGATAAATTTGATTCATGGCCAAACTTTGTCACAGCTGGTGGAGGTTTTATTTCAGGTACATATGTCTGGCTTAGTTACGTGCTACCTGATAGGTGTTCCAATGAGTTATTTTTCTCCAGGTAGATGTCCTGCTGTGACATACTACCTGGTACGTTTTTCATTGTGTTACTTATCACCTGGTAGGTGTTCCAGCGAGTTATGTAGGTGTTACATTGAGTGGTTTATTACCTGGTAGGTGTTCTGCTGTGCCCTCACTTGGTTGCTTGCCGACGACCCAATGCTGGATACACTGTCTGGTGTGGCAGCTCTGTCATACTGCGACGATGTGTTCACTGTTCAATGAATTACACATGAATCAGCCCTTTTCTTTCCCTTCTAAAAGATTAAAATGTTTCTTAGCCAGGTTTTTAAAAAAAAAATTTTTCTGGACCTAGGGATGACCACAGAGATATACAACGCATCGCTTCCTGTATTTCTTTAGCTCTTTAAATAACGACAAACTAACAGTAAACAGCAATACTTTATACAGACCATCTTGAGCTTTTCTGAACAGCAACATTAAATTTTAATAAGTAAGAAAGATGGGAAAGGAAATTTTCTAGAGTGTGTGGTTTGGGGGGGAGTGGGGCTGGAAGCCACTTCTCCAGCACATAAAAATTCAACAATAATCTGAAGCTACTTCATTTACCATTTCCATCTATTCCAAAAGATGAAGCCACTTTATTTTGTGTTAAGTCTGACTGACCCTTGTGTGCTGTCAGGGGATCAAACTCTTTCCCTCCCAAAGCATTCACGGGTCTGGCTGCAGGTAATGGGCCCTTGCCTGCTGAGAAATAATCAAATGGCACTTATGTTAAATGAAGTGTCAACTTTTTTTTCTTTTTTTTTCACGTTCAAAATAACTATTCCAATAATTGTATTATTAAAAAGAAATGACCGCACCTCTCATTAATAGTTCTTTCACTGCGGAAAAGGGGCAAAGGGGGGAATGATTGAGAAACGTAATATTCAAGCATTAGCTTCCTGTTTGTAATAGAGTCAGCAATGAATGTGGAAATACGTGCAAACAGAGAATGTCACTATCAAGATAAAAAACATACAACAGCAGTAATACAGAAACACTTTTACCAGTTAAGCCGTCTCCTATACCCAGAGACTGTTGCACAGAAACAAGGGAGGTGGGCTCAAGTCTGTCTAGTAGATCAATGACCCTGTCTCTTATGTCCTGCAGTTCTCTCCTGAGGACCACTGTGCTGGCCGGCTCTAACACAGATTTTGTTGGACCTCCCACTAAACAGCGAGAAAGCAAACAAGTCAAAAAATCATTTTTTTGTTTTTTTAAATAATGCAGATGAGTAGTATCAATCAAATTTAATTAAAAAGTGATGATTAATACCAAAACCAAAATACCACGAGATTGAAGGGAAGACAAGATAGAGTTTAAAGCAACCTCCCAGTTTGTAAAATAGCTGGAATGCAAACAGTTCAAAACTTACCAAATAAGGTAATTTTCAAGATGCGGCTGCACTGTATAGCAAATGTGAGATCAGAACTGTCAAATATGGTAATGAGGTCATTATCTGTAAATATGAAAATGATATAATGAACCATTAAGCTGCCACTTCAATAACTGAATGCATATATAAAAGGTATTATTTTTTAAAAACTGCTATAAATTGTTTATATAAATAAATTTATTAAAAATTTCTAGAGCTTGGGCGGTCCTTATTTTATTCTTTGCTATGTTAGTCTGGTCCAATTATGGGGTCAAAAAGCAGGGTCCTGACTCTCAAAAATACTGGGATTTTAGACTAAAATGAATGCTTCAAAATAGTGTGTATGGACTTATGTAAACTGGGATTTAACATTTTTTCGTTATTTACTTTTCAAAAAATGTATATCGCTTTTCATAGTTCAAATGTCCTAGAGTAAAATAAGTCAATATTTATTCACAAAGCGCGGGCCAAACTGTTACTATAATGATCCCCCACATGGCAGGCGCCACCCTTTTGCGACAACAAACATTTGGGTAAATTTGGGTGATGTGATGTTCAGCACAAAAGTTAGAAAGCACAGTAAGACTCAAAAAACATATTTAAAAAACGCTTATTGATTTTAAAATAGATCTTGACTTATCTGAAGATGAATTTAAAAAAGAATGTTTAGAAGAACTTTGCAACATCTGATTCGGGTTTAATGTTTATGTTAAAAAATTTAGATTCCATGCACCGCGGCATAGTTGCATGTGAACTTGTTGCCTCTCTGAGGCATCAGATTAAAAAGCGCAGGTTGTTGGTAGTTGAATTTCTTGCATAATCCTGAAACATAATTTGATTCATCAAATGACCACTTGGGTGAATTTCTAAAGGCCACGATTGCAAGGAGATGCAAAAACACATCATGGACCCTCAATACCTTGGTCAAACTGCTGATTGATCATTCAAAGTTTGTAAGGACAATGAGATGGAACATTTTGGATCTAGGCATGATGATGCTCAAGAAACTCTACCACTTATGAGACAATTGGACTTTGAAATCCAAAAGAAACTTCAAGCTCAAGATATTACTTCCAGACCAACTGACGGTGACATTGACACATTGGTCAAAATAGAGATGGCTTTACTTGAAAATGATTGTTCATTATTTAAATATGACCAAAGAGTAATCAAACAAATCAATTATTTTTAAGTTTGTTTAATAGAACTGTTTAAATTTTTAAAATGTGGTTAATGCTTACAAATTTGCATAAATAACATAAAGGTAATTATATTTTGTTCAAGTTTGATTAAAGTCTGAAGTACAACACTTATGTTATTGTTTGTTTTGTTGTTTATGTTATTTAAAAACTGATTAATAATTTAAATGTGATTTTTATCTAAATGTTTCTATTTAATTGATTTTTGATTAAAAAAAGCTGGCACCTAAAAGTTTTCATTAAATATTGAAAATATCATAAAAACCGGAATTCCAATTTGCGTAATACTGTAAATAATGATTTTGGTAAAAGACCCTTAGATCAAATCCATATGAATCCTTCAATATTAAATTTTCATACAAGGATTACCGCAAATAGTTTTGACTTCCAAATAAATTGTATATTTTGCACTTCAATAAATCAGTTCTTCAATTAAAAGATTATTTTGTTAATTATAATAATACTGTATGGCATGGTTGAGATTATTCGAATCAAAGATTGATTGATTTAAATGATTTATTTCACGATTTAAAGAGGACCACTAAAAATCATGATTTAAATTTTAAATATTATTATTTATTTATCTATTTATATTTAAAGGTACTAGCTAAAAAAAATCCTGTTTGTTATTATGTATTTTTACTAACATAATATACTATTTTTCTTTATATAATTATGATCACATAATTTTATAATTATTATATTATTAAATTTTATTTTTATTCAATTATATCTTCATTTTTTATTTAAATATGTCTATAATATGTCCTTTACCAGATGCTAGAATAATTTCATCATTTGGTTTAGTACATTCGAGCATTAAAGAGCGATTTGGGCTTGAGAATGTAAAACTAGTTTTTCTATTCAAATCTTTTACTCAGAATGCTTTGGTGGCATCAAATAACACTGACCAATGACAATATTATGACAATGATAATCTGATAATGAAAGTGTGAAGCTGAATTGAAATTCTTATTCTTATAGATTAGATAGAGACTATAATATTACGACTATGACAGTTGTTGATTATATGTTTTCAAAACTTTTAAAATTAATTATTTGATATTTCATAATCATATATTTTACTCAGTTCAGTAGGTTACTATTTGTTCGTTTTAATTACCTACATTAAGTTTATTCATTAAAAAAAGGAATATTAATCAACATCAAAAATAAAATATTAAATCTTGATTTTTATCGACCCTACTATTTGGCCAATATAAAAGGTGTTTGTGCTTGATTATTTTATTACTGTATTTCTGTATTATTTACTTTTAAAAAGTTGCATTTATTTTTTTTTTTTAATTAAGAAGAACATTATGGTTACCTTCATCTTTATACTTAATAGTAATTTCATCATTTGTACTCAGTTTTCCTCTGTAAACTCTCTGCATCATCAACACCAGCTCATCATAAGTAATGTCTTCATTGTGAATAGGAATTCGACGGATATCATCACCAAGAGCAACCTTGATAATGAGCTTCCCTGAGAGGTCAAGTTGTGGACTTCCAGAATTTTGCATGCTGAATACTGTGTTTTTTTTTAAAATGTTTTCTTTGAAGGCCTGTTGTTTAAAAAAAAAAAACATAAATCGTTAATGAATATATTTAACATAACAGTACTATACTTTGAATAAATTATACTGGGGAGACTGCGTTAAAGCTGTAACAAGGAAACAATGAAGCACACATTATGGAAAAGTTTTAAAAATAACACACTAGGCAATTAACATATATTGGCTGAAAGCTTACTTCAAGGAAAAAAACAAAAAAAAAAAAAACAATAAAGATGAAGTGAATAGAAAGAAAATTAAGTATAACAAAATAGAAAAAAAAAGAAATTGATGACAATTTAATGGAAAAGTTTTAAAAATAACACACAAGGCAATAAAAATATATTGGCTGAAAGTTTACTTCAAGGAAAAAAACAAAAAAAAAAAAAAACAATAAAGATGAAGTGAATAGAAAGAAAATTAAGTGTGACAAAATAGAAGAAAAAAGAATTTGATGACAATTTTACATTTATGGGTGGCCTCTTGTCTGCATGGTTCCCTGTGTAGTCTCAGAAATGTAACATCAGTGTAAATAGTAATTTTAACGACACTTCCATGGGTTATAATTATGTTATGATTAATGAAGTGATAAAAAAACAGCTCAATTTTTGAGACTACCAAGGGAACCAAAGGTGCTTGAATAAGTGGCAATTGTAAATTTCATTTTTCCTTTTTTTTTTATTGGCGTGTATGCTCCACGATTTACACTATGTTTTATTTAACTATTTTAAAAGAGGTGACCTGGTCATCCATAAAAATGTAAGGCTATTTAAGATTATGCGGCCCGAGGAGATTTAGTCGTGTTTATTACCCTTTGTTTACATTAGGAGAATGCATTTGTTTTTTGTAGTAGAATTAATGCGCCGATGGAAAATGTACTTAAATATTGGTTTATAGTGATTATTTAATGTTTATTTTAATAGAAATACTAAGATTGAATGCATTTTTTTGTAATAAACATGAAATTTTAAATTATTCCTTGAAAAAATTTTGTTTATTCATTGGAAGAAGTGGCGGTCAATGAATCTTTCAAAGGTTATCACTTGCTACAAGAGTTCACGTGAGGTCATGTGAATAATTAAAGGATGTTGAAATAAAAGTTCAATTTTATGTAAAAATTATGTGCTATTGTATTTTTAAGTTTTATTCTGAGCGTGTGCAAATGTTAGAATGTTGGAAATGTAAGATGGAGAAATTAATTTTTGTCTAGGGTACTTTAAAATTATGCAGATATAGAAAGTAGTGCTTAAGTGTTACGTCACTATCGTCTTGATTGTGCTCCGAGTGTCCGCGGTAAGTTCGAAATTGGTTTTTTTTAAAAAGTTTTTGTAGCTAAATTTGGGTGAAATTTATGCTGATGGATGCTAAATTTACTGCCCGCTTTTGGATTCGACTAGAAGCTATGGGCGGAAGGAGTGTGTTGAATTGGGTCATGACTGGTGGTCTTATTGCAGACTGTTACGAATGTCCCAATTGTAAAAAGGCTATTCCACCTCATGTACGAGATGAAACATCGTAAAGAGTGAGTAAAAATAAAAATTATAATTTGACAATTTACTAGCATTTCTTTTCTTTTTTTTTTCTTTTTTTTTGGGATAGATTTAGGGTTAGGGTTAGGCATAGGGTTAGATTTAGGGTTAGGGTTAGGCATAGGGATAGATTTAGGGTTAGGGTTAGACATAGGGTTAGTTTTAGAGTTAGGGATAGATTTAGGGTTAGGCATAGGGATAGATTTAGGGTTAGGGTTAGACATAGGGTTAGTTTTAGGGTTAGGGATAGATTTAGGGTTAGGGTTAGGCATAGGGATAGATTTAGGGTTAGGGTTAGGCATAGGGATATATTTAGGGTTAGGGTTAGGCATAGGGTTAGATTTAGGGTCAGGGTTAGGCATAGGGATAGATTTAGGGTTAGGGTTAGGCATAGGGATAGATTTTTTTTTTTAAATTTTTAATTTGTTGTTTTTTAGTAAATTTAAAAATACATTTTAACAAAAAAAATTTTATAATTTTTCTTTTTTTTACTGAAAAAAAATTTGCAATTTTCTTTAATTTAATGTTACTTTTTTTACAGACTTTTTAAAAAATTATTGTATTTTTTGTGTTTTTCAATTTTTTTAACATTAATTTTTCTTGTACAATTGCTTTTTCTCATATCTCTCGGTAAGTAGTTGAAAAAACAACATTTTCGTCAACCTCTCCCTTCCCTTAAAACACGTGTCTTCGCACTACTTTCTTTTTTCACTTGGCCGCCATCTTGGTTGACACGATCCGTGACCTCGTCACGGGTCGTGTTAATCAAGATGGCGGCCATGGTAAAACTTGTGGGCTGGGTTCTCTTAAATTACCGGCTGTAAAATGACATCATGCTTCTTTGACAGACACCCGGCCCTCACAAAATTCACAAATTGCTTTCCTCCCTTCCCCTTTTAGATGCATGATGTCATTTGTGGATGTCTTATATTTTCTAATTAGTTTAAAATGAAATTAATTAGATTTTTAGTCATGTTAAGTCTGTTCATTAAGTCTTAAATATGATGATAAAAATTAAATAACATGAATATAATAAAATGGTAAAGTCCTGATGTTTCTCAGAGAAAAAAAAAAAGCAAAGATTGAAAGAAAATATGTTACAGTTTCTGAAATATTTCCATTTCTCATTCCATTGTCATTGTCTTGTTAGTGTTAGTATTCAATTTTTTTTTATCTATAACTATAGTCTATACTACTGGACTCTTCATTCCATTCACATGATTCATTGTTATTAATATAATATAATATACCATTAAATTATTGTCAAAATTACTGTTGTGCCTAAACTCTAAAACAGTGACTTATACCTAAACTAAACTTTAACTCTGAACTGAAACAAGAAGTAGAAGTCTTGAGGGGAAAAATCTATAGAAATAATTATAATAAATTTTCAAAAGTTTACCAAGAAAGGTTGTTCTTTAAATGGCCAATAGCGTAAAGTTGATAAATTACCGGCTATGTTGTTAAGAATATATTTTTCTCTACTCTCTCCCTCTCTCTTTCTCTCTCCCTCTCTCTACGTAGTATACCTGTGACTTGTCAGCGGAAGTGTCCTGGGTTCACCCCCTTCATTAAATTTTGTCACTAAAATGGTCTCACATTATTATGGTCCCTTTTAACAACTTTTATCAAAGTTTAACAAATCAATTTAAAGACATTAAATTACGATCACCGTCATCTCAACTGTGCAATTCAGTAGTGTGGAAAATCGTAACACGTGCATGTGAGGTCCAAAATGGACCGTGGTCATTGGACTGAGACATGCGAGTCACAGGATGGCGTGGCCGACGAGAGTCATATGACATGTGAAGTGACATTGACAATAACATTGACAATTAGGATAAATTATGCTCGAAAGGAAAAGATGGGAGTCCTTGGAATTAGGGGTACGGGTACATGAAGTTTTGGAAGGGGCAAAAACTAGATGACCGGAAAACTTGATCTAAGTAAAAGTTCTAAGTAAGTGATCTAATGAAAATGTTTCAGACACAGATGCCGCAGTTCTAAATCGGTCCTAAGGCATAATATTATTATTTTGTGTGTGTGTGTGTGTTCGTAAACGGGAAGTTTACAGCTCATACAATGCAGTGGAGAGTTAGAGGTAGTTCCAAAATTAATAACCCCCAGAGGCTCCCAGGCAGCCAACACCCTCGAAAATTATATCTTAATGTCATATCAGTCGTGGCATGTGCTACGGTTGCTGCCGCCCGGGGGGGGGGGTGGGGGTCAAGCTTGTTTTCCGCATTCGTTCAACGTAAACAACGTCAGCGGTTGGCCGAAAACACGCCACCCCTCAATATAAAGACACAAAACGTTACGCCTGGGGGGGGGGCAACCTTCTTTCCAGGGTTTCTTTTGGCTATAGCTCAGGGGGGGGGAGGGGTTGGCATTCCTCCCTTCCCCCCACGGGAAACCCAAGTGCAAAAATATTCCCAACAATAAATCAACTGGCACTGCCCCCCCTCGAAAAATCTGAAGTGCCCCCCCCCCGGGGGAAATTTCTGAAATAAACACTACCCCTTCCTACGCCATTGCATATCCATTAACGGGTACTTTGAGTTTCAATATAAAACGTTTGTAAGATACGACGGTCATGCCGATGAAAAGTGGCGTTTGAAGCGAGGCCTGAAAGTTGAGAGAAATTGGTGGGGGTTTGGGGGAGTAGGGAGCCCTTCCCGCGGGTAGCGTAGCTAGGGGGGTGCGTGGGTTGCGGACAGCACAAGGTGACACCCTCTCGGGGGTGACACCAAATTGAAAAATTGCCTATTTACAGACCGCACACTGTTCGTCTAACCGAATTTCATAAAAGGATAACCGATTGCACGTTAATTGACCACACATGTGACCAATCCAAATGGGCGCTTTTTTAAAAAGTTCAAGGTTGATGCGTCAGAAAGAGGTGACCCTATAATTAGGTCAGAAAAACGCCGTCACCGTTTTGACTACGGTTCAACGCCGATTGAAGTGTTCGGTCGAGTCGTGTACAGATCCATAAACATCTTGTTTTAATGCGTCAAAAAATGTATATACATGTATATATATTTTTTTTTTTTTTTAAACTGGGTATTCTTATAGGTGCAATGTGTTGAAATGGAATGATCTTAAATAAGCAAGTAGCAGAAAAAAATGAATAAGAAAATACATTTGTCCAAAATAAAAAAAAGTATATAAATTTATATATATTTTTTTTTTTTTTTAAACTGGGTATTCTTATAGGTGCACTGTGTTGAAATGGAATGATCTTAAATAAGCAAGTAGCAGACAAAAATGAATTAGAAAATACATTTGTCCAAAATCTGCCAAGCCTTTAAAGTGAGACAAGGTCAAGGTCGGCACTTGCAGACGCAGTTTAAAGTGCATCTCATCACTACGACACAAAGATACTTATGTCTTTTCAAGAAATTAAAATTTAAAAAAAAAAAAACACCATAGGATGACAAAATGCAAAAACGTGAGATAGAACGGTGATGATTTAGGTCTACTTTAGTGGATAGACTTTAAACATCGATAAAACGGGCCTAATAAAACAACTGAATCAGCAAACGATTCAAAGATAATAGTAGTCTCCCTTCACAGTTTTTATTTGGTTTCCTTGGGGGTGTTTATGTTTCCTTAATTTATTTCTCTTTTCGTATTGCCTTAAAAAATCGTATTGTCTGTCCGGTTTTAGATTATGCATCTTCAGTCTGGGACCCATTTCCCCAGAAGAGCATTGACAGGTTGGAGACAGTCCAAAGACGGGCAGCACGCTTTGTCCTGAACCGCTACAGGAATAACTCTAGAGTTGGCAGCATGCTGGAAACACTAGGCTGGTCACCATTGGAGGAACGACGACGACGACAATCCAGGCTCTCCATGATGTACAAGATAAATAATGGGCTGGTCCACTGTTCCAGTATTAAACAGAAACTTGTCCCTCTCCCCCATAGACAGCGACGAGGCCATGACAGGCAATTCAGGCTCATACCAGCAAGAAGCCAGTATAGGAACTGCTCATTCCTACCCAAGACAATCAGGGACTGGAACAAGCTTTCAAAAGGAACAGTTGAGGCGACAACACTAGACTCATTTGTGTCTATTGCCTCAAGCCTTCAAACCCCCAGTGCATGATTCCTCCACAAAGTGGCACTGGAAATCATTGAAGAAATTTCCTCATCAACACCAGGCACAGAAACATTGCAAACCCCCTCTACATGCATAGGAGCCAAAATGATCAATAAATTGATCGTGGGCCCTTAATATATAGAAGAAGAAGAAGAAGAAATAAAGTGTTTTAGAGAGTCTACATTCAGCAAGTCAAAGATTATCAAAAGTTGTCCCTTATAAGAGCCAGGAGCTTTTAGGAACAAGTTAGGGTACATCCATTTAGTACGTACGGACGGAGGGGGAGGAAGGGCGGAAGGTTGTAGATTTTGGAGATTTTGAGTACGCGTGCCCGGTAGCCTCGGCAATCGGCAGATCGTATATGGAAAAATAAAAATTCTGTGTGCTTTTACCTGAGGGAAATCGTATGAAAATAAAGCATACATTTCCCATTATTCAGATGATTAACATTTTTATTTGGCATTTCAAAATACTTTAACTCCCTTTAGATAAATAACAAATTGCCTCTTCAATATACTTAAACAAGTTTAAAAAAAAACAACAAATCCACAGAATTTATTTAAAATTGACGATTTAGGAAGAATTTTTTCTAAATCTAGTTTTAAAAAATGGATTTGGCGTGCTAATCTAAATGCTAGTTTAATCATCTAGAAAAAATACTTTAATAAAAAATGCATGCAAATAGTTGGGTCCGTTTGTTTGTTATTCTGATATTAAAACGACTAAAGCAGTTGGGAATTTAATAATATTAGGCTTAGTGGGCTCATTTATTCAGGAAACTATGTTACGAAAGTAGCACATTTAAAGAAAACGCAAACCCTTTCGATTTTATATTAATTGTGGAAACATGCATTATTTTATCTGAGGGTTAAATTCTTAATTTTAAAAAAAAATGTATGCCTTTTTTTAAAAAAGTATTTATTTTATTTAGTCCAACATACACGGATTCGAGTACATTTAAAATTATATTAATAACTAATAGATAGAGCCCGCCAAACATTGGCGACAGCAATGTGGGAACTTCCACAAAGTTACTTGAAAAAAAAACGTGAATTCAAGTTACACAAATTATAGAATGCCAATTTTGCTACACCCCTTCCCCCCCTCCCCCATTTTTTTCATGATACGTCACTGCACTCTTTTTATTTTACGCCCATGCCCATGAATTATATTAATATTCTCATTTCCCAACCACTTTTAAACCGATTATTTTTTACACAATACTTAAATTGAGACGATTTCATTTCCAAAAAGAAAATATTACGCACCAAATGCAATTGCGTTATTTAAAAAAAATATATATCATATATAGCGTAGTTATCGGGAAATTATATTTTGTGCGCCAGTGAACTCATTATGGAACCACACTCTGGTGTATCTATAAATAGCCTGCGTGTTGTTTGAAGCGTGTTGGTGTTTGACCTTTGCTGGCGAATTTTATATATAGATACTTTACTTTAAAGCATAATGCCACCGCACTCATAAATTTTATACAATGTATAATTAACACCCAACCTACTGTAAAAGTCTTGCTTTTATGGTGAAATATGATTTGAAAATAGATTGGACATTTTTGAAATAGTATCTAAAATTATAGTCCTTTATATTAATGTAAAATGCATTTCAATAATGTGTTATTAAACTCTTCAAACATGAAACTGCAATAAATAAATAAATACAAATACCGATATGCGAAAAACAGAAAGTAATACTTTTAATTATAATCAGGAGGGTCTAGTATGATATTTATAATAGAATACTGTAAGACTCTACCAAGATTAAACTTAAACCTAAATATACAGATAATAATTAATAATTAAATAAATTGATCGTAGCGATATTTCATAGGTTCCACTAGTTGTAATCTGCTAAAGGCACTGTTATAACTGTTTAAAAAATTTTCAATGAATTCATTTTTAAAGAATTGTATTTTCGTTTTTTCAACTTTTAAGTGCGTCTAAACTCGTCTTTGAACTTTGAATTTGAAAGAAAGTCATTTAAAAAGTTATGTTTTTCTCATTTTAAATTAGAAAGCAATGGTCTCATTATAAATCAAATTGCCTACAATTCTTTCTTCTAGGTTTTAGCATTTTCATATAAATTCGATAACATCGTTTTGTTGTCACAATAGAACAAAAGATTTTTTTATTTTTTTTTTACACCGGGAAATGACCCCTGACCTGGTTGGTTTGCGTGTAATAATTTTGTTGTTGTATTTGTAAAGAAGTTCAGTAGGACAGAAAAGAACTGAAAGGTTGCATTGTAACTATTTAATAGTTGTTAGCAGGTCAGTTTTGCGTGTGCTTTCATATAATTCAAAATCTGTATTCTCTTTATTATGCACCCCTATACTTTAAATTTATCTTCATACTTTGATGTATGCATTTGCAGTCTGCAGTTCATGTAGCTGTGACATCTGTGCCTGTAGCTGTGACTGTGTCAGTTTTGTG